CCCGCCCTCGCCCGCACCCGCGACACAAGCTTACACTGCCCAGATAAGCGATACACGCCGTCGCCCTTCGCCCTCCGCTCCTCTCCTCTACCTATTTACAAAAAGTTAGTATAATAAAATGCAGTTTTTTGAAGCAACTTTTATTTTTTTCCTCTTAATACATTCTGATAATGCGAATGACACAGTTACAAATGTCCTTTTACGTTATAGTGGCGCAAGGATATTGTGGTACCTTTTTGACATTGACAGGGGGGCGCTTCTGAGCATTTAGGGCTGCCAGCAAAGTAATATGTTCACATTTAAGGGATATTCTTTCCTTTCGACAAAACGGAAAACGCAAAATATGAAAGAAGTACTTTTACCTTACAATGTAACTAGGAAATGCCTCAGACTTCGTTTGTCGTATAGAAGACTCTATAGTTAAAGAACTTTTGTTGCAAACTATTAGTAATGCACTCTTTTGAGACTGTAAGGGAAGAAATAGCTTTTAATATAATAGAAATTGTCTTAGTTAACTCTCATCTAAATTTTATGTTACGAAGGTGATACTTCCAGTTGCACAAATCACGTAACAATTAAGGGTTCAGTCACTGCAATTTGAAATAGGTAATAAAACGACTATCAGAAAAATATTTATAAGTCAATTACTATTTTATTTTAAATTACAAAACTAATCATTTCGCGAATTACTTGAACTAATAAATGGTAACACAATTTCGTTGACACAGACACAAGAAAATTCATATTTTCAAATGTAATTACTGAACCCCCAATCTTCTCAGCGATAAAAATATCTCCCACTTAAAAAAAACTCTCTTAGACTGCTTTTAAACACTTTTATCATTTTTTTCTTGGAATAACATTACAAAACCACACAAAGTGCGTAAAGACGTGAAATAAAGCCTAGCTATGTTACTATTACCAACTGTTACCCTGACATTAAATGTCATTTTTATTTCATAAAATTGCCGGCTACTAAAGGAAGTATGTACCACTATATATATCAATAATTTGACAAAGTTATCTGACTCGTGGTCATAACTGTTTTTTCCCACATGAGAGTTTTTTCCAGGTAAAATCCCATCTCTAATACCAAGTACCTTGTTGTACTGCAGGTGTAGAACCCAAGAGCATGCGCACACCAGAAACTAAACTACCGCACAACTGTTCAATCTCGCTTTAAATTACAAAAGCTCATATATAGGTGCGCACACTACTCGATTTTTAGAACTATCGTCTATAAATGGACATGCTATAAACTGAGCTATTTTGTGTCTGCTTGCTTTTCGCTATTTTGGCGCTGATATTTGCAGTTAGTTGCAGTGAAGAGCCGTAAAAGTAATAATAGTAATAGACTTAACTGTCATTAACATCAAAAAGTGTGTTTAAGGCTGAACGAGACAATCGCTCATCTATTTAAACAAATCAGTGATTTATTTATTTTGTCATCCAGTTGACAGTTTGAATTTGACATTTAGAAATACATGTTCTTTGCTTCCATACAAAATCAAAAAACCATGTTCCGTTGAGCGCCCGCCTATGTTATTTATTTTCATTAGTTTTTAACAATTTTGTAAGGTATTTTTTTAATTCCTTTTTGCTATTAGTGTGATCTGTTTGCCATTTTTGCAAATAAGATACATATAATGGATATAATCGAAAATGAAGAGGCAGATAAAGACACGGTGGAGGAAAATGTGTTACAAGAACTGTTTCCAAAAAAATATGATTTAATGACCGAAATAGAAGTATCACTCAAGAAGACTTATATTAACAAATTAAGCGGCACGAAGTAAGTCGTTTTGATAATTCAAGCTTTGTTCTTCAGGATAACGTAAACACTCGCGAGCCTTCATTGAAGTTGCCCCACAACTTACAAAAGTAAATGAACAGAATTAATAAATAACAATCTATATCATGCTAACTAACAAAGGATTTTATCATTCCTGTTAAGTTTGTCATTTTGCAAGTATAAACAGTCCAATCTAGACTGACAACATTGTGTATACTCATATTTATCTGCCCTAAATCTTATCTGTTGTGATATAGAGAAGTAACACAGGACAAAATGCCTTTTAATAAGAAAGCTTGCTGTTAAAAGAGGTGAAACACACTCCCTGTACAGTGAATTGCACACATGTCCCAATAAGCATACTATAGGCAAACTATAAGCATTAGTCCTGTGATTTTCTGAGTGGCTTCCTGTATTGTTTTAGTTAGATATTATTAGAAGGGTAATAGATGATTACAGCTGTGAAATGTAAAAACTTAATTTCAGGTCATTGAAGTATTCAATAATTCTACCAGACAACACCATAGAGGTGTATGAGCTGAATGAGAGCTCACTGTCGCGTGTGTGCGCCATGAGCGGCCACGAGAAGATGGTCACAGAGACAGTCTTCAATCCCA